TTTGTTCATGTTTGTTTTGTGTTTGTTGTAAAAATAAAAAAAACATTATAAAAAAAAAAGAATTATGTCTACTGATGGGTGGTTCTTTAAGCCATAGCAGTTGGGGGCAGAGTGAAAAGCAACTAGAATCCCACTCTTTCTGTCATTCCGATGCTTATCTCTGCCTCACTCCCTGCGACTCTGCTATCCTTTTCACTCTCTGTATGCTTCACACTCACACAGACACTGGGAGTGAAGGACAATAATAGGATATGTTATCCCTGAACAAGGGTTTAGAGGAAGAGTAGATGCCAGTGCATCTCTCACTATAGCCATTATTGCCTGGTTGCATGCAGATACCAGGTGGGTGACTTCTTAAATTCCATCATACTAGAGGACAACAGCCTTAAGCCATCAGACTGGTTTTATCCCTTGTGTTGTACAAAACAAAGACTTCTTTCTGTGGCTTTGCTCAAATTATACTTTCAATGCCTTTTCTTCCCATACCCATTTCACCCCTGTAATTTGAAACAAGTTCTATCATATGTATTTGGGAAAGTTGTGCTTCTAACACTGACTTCCAGGAACACCACCATGATGGAAGAAAAGCTAAAGTTATTGTTACATTGCATTGTTGTGATCAGAGCTGTAATCTGTTAACAAATCACGTCCCATTAAAACAAGAAGGAATATTTAAGGAATAGTGGAAGGTAAGTACTGGAGATATATTACCTCCTATTTGGACTATTCCACCTGTGCCCTCCTTCCCTTGGCCTTCCTGTAGTCATGCTGCACTGCAGCACCCCCCTCCCCCAACTCACACACAAGCTGCTCCAGGCCTCCCAGGGTCTCCCCCACCCCCATGCAGCACCCCCACGCTCCTTACCTGGGACTCCCACTGCTTCCCATTTAATGACCCAAGTGTCTCGGGGGTACGAAGGCAACAGGAACTGCCTGGATTGCCCTTCGCTAAGTGATGTGGTCATGTGATGTCGCACTATATGATTGCATCGCTTAGCAATGGCAGTCCTGGCCTCAACTACTGTCATAACCTGAGGACTACCTGTAATCTGTCTCCCAACAGACTGATAATAGAGAAAAGCCCTACATGCAGAGGAATATAGAGGGTTGTTGTACTGTTCTTATTTTCTGGACCTTCTATATTTTACTTGCATGTGAAGAGGATGACATTTGCCTCCATGAAAGAAAGCACAATGAAATCCAAATAAGCACAGAAAACATGCAACTGTGTAAGGATGTTATATGATTTTTACTATTTTGTTTTTGTTTGTTTCAAAGTACCCATAAAACTACACAAATATGCAGGATGGCATTCTTATATATTATATATATAGCACAATGCAAAAACAAGTGATGCCTTAATACAATGCTTTAATACAAACAACAGCGACTTGCTTATAAACTTTTCTCTGTAAATTTATTCAGCGATAAGCCACACTAGTATGGGGATAGTTGGTATCAAATTAAGATAGACTTTTATAAAGAAATATGGAATTGCACTCTTATTGTACATTTCCATACTTTTATAGGGTTGGGCTTTGTACATAGATTATATTCAAAGATGATGATGCTGATTTCCCTGTGAAGTAGGCTGGGCTGAGAGCAATTCACAAAATTCAAAGAGGGGGGACTTGAATCTGGATTTCCCTGGTCCTAGTTCTGTTTCTGCTATTTATGTAGAATAAGGGATGTAAAAGAGATGTGCAGAGGAGGAGGAGAAGTTGAATTTATATTAAGCACACAGAGTTACTGGTCTCTCTCTTTTTACGTTAAAATGGTTTACACATGTTTAAAATGGTATGATCTTCCTGCAACTTAAAAGTGATCAGAACTTATCTGAATGCTCGAGTATCACATAATATTACATAGTCCACAGTAGAAAAAAGTTCTCCAAAACTCCAAAAAGTTCTACCAACATGGGAGATTATTTCCGAACTGGTTTCAGTCAGAGTTCCCTTCCTGCCAGACCGTTCAAAGTACACTCCCTTCAGAATGATCTTGCAGGGGAGAAAGCCTAGATCTTCACTCCTATCTTTTTTCTCTGTGGAACTTAGAATAATATTGTGATGGTGTAAAGTTTTGTGATCACTTGACTATTTCAGGAAATGCTGCTGTTTTAAACCTGTGGAAAGACAGTCTTTTACTACTGTGAACATGTGCAAGATATGCTTTATGTGAAAGAGAGAGAGAGAAACCTTGGCACTTCATGAAGCACAAATTCTTTTATCCCTTCAACTGTGGTTTTTAAAGAAATTCCTCCACTCTTCATGAAAGAGGCAGAAAAATATGCCTCCTTCAGAGGACCAGTTTTCTGGAAAATAGTCCTTGTTTTATTTGTAATCATACCCTTGCAAATCTGTGGTTTATATTTATCAACAGTTTCATAAGTAGAGACCGCATGAATTCAGCAAATATTAATATTAAAATATATTGTCTAAGAGTATACTTACGCTGGTTTCATAGACTTGGAATGTTTCTCATGAATATAAGCACCAGCTAGACCCCCGGCTCCAGAATTCAAGTACTGTAAGATGGAATTCCTTATTTAAGTATCCTCTCAATTTCATCATGCAGATAAAGCAAAGCAACCTTTTTTGTCTTTTGGAGAGAACAGTCAGACTATGATGTAAATGTAACACAAATAACTATGAATCTGTAAGACAGAAGGCCCTTAAAAACAGGACCATCTCTTAAATTTCTAGCTTTTTCTTACATTAAGACAGAACATTTAAAATGGTTCCTTCAGTTGCCGTTGTGCATTATCAGAATTTTTGTTTCATGCTAATTTGTAGAAAATTCTCCCACTTTCTTTTTGGAATATTACTGCTATTTTTCTTATCCATTTTACTGATGATAATCATTTTACCTAAGTGCACTATTCATTTTAAATCCTACTTAAAATGTAAAGTACACTGAGAGTTGTGTGAAATAAATAATGGGCTGTCCTCTTTGACATTTAGCCAACTGTTCCATGTTGGCTCTGAGTCTGTGCAAGAGCAACTGAAATTAATTATTATGAATTCTTTGGAATGATAAATATATGCTCACCTTGTAAGAACACCAGCAAGCGAAGTCAACTCCCCACTCATGTAAATGTAATTCTACGTTGCCAACAGCATGGGCCAGGTCAAATCCAACAAAGCAACCCTTTTGGATAAATAAGTGGTATCATGTTTCTTTTCATTTTTTTAATGAATATTTTTGTAAATATACTTAGGCAACTTTTACACAACTGTTAAGGACAGAACTATTTAAAAACAGACATATTAACCTGGATGCCTTAAACTTAGAAGCAGATGAGGTAATGAGTCAGAACTTTGTTTAGTGCAATACTAAAGCAAAGATGTTCCAGTTCTGCTGCAGAAGCAGGCTCTTTGTGGGTAAGAAGATGAGAGAGAGGCAGTAGGGTAATTTTGGAGTCATAGGATAATATGGCAAGGGGGTAATTTTGGAGGTCATTAGAACTGCCTCTGATTTTTGTTGATAAGGAAACTCTCTATGTCTTTGCTGTAGATCAGGGATCCCCAAAGTGGTCAATATCAACCCCCAAGGATCCATGGGACTATTCGTTATTGTTGTTATTATTATTACTATTCATAGTACTATTTGTTAAATTATTTTTTATTAAATTATTTTCATATAATAAATGTTTGGGGGTCAATGAACAATCTGAAATTTCATGAAGGGGATGATGAGCTGAAGAGTTTGGTGACCCCTGCTTTAGATAAAGATGAAGAGATCTCTATGTCTGACTGGTGTATTGGGAGTGATTGTTACACTTTAGTGAAATAATTTAAATAGTAAAGAAAATACATGGAAAATCACCCCCCCCAAAAAAAACCCAACAACAACCACCGAGGAGGAAGTTACATTTGTCACTAAAAGTGAGGGTTGCGCAAAGCATTTGAAAGAGGCACTCCACAAAGTACATTAGAATCAATGAAGCATCCCTCCTTGAAGTTTTAAAGATGCTCAATCTTCTGGAAAGCTCAGGCGGTTGCTTTGAAGGCATCCCTGGTTGTCTGAGCATGCATGTCTATGGACAGAGCACTCTCCCTCGGGACCATCTGGCCAGTGGCTGTACATATGCAGGCATACAAAAACAACAAGGGACAGCCCTCAAAGCAGCAACATGAGCCTTCCAGAAGACATTGGTGACTTAACCCTCTGAGGGGGAATGTTTCACTCATGCCAGGGTTTGTGAAGCTCCTCTTTCAATTGCTTTGTACGGCCCTATTAGAAATGAGTTTGCAGGCTTTAATAGTTGCTCATCATCCTTGCCCAGCTGTATAATGCAGCTACAACAAAATAATTAGATGAATAGAAAATTACATTTTTCCTAGCAACACAATCAACAGAAAATTTTGACATAGTCTTTATGAGGACAATCTATCCACATAACCAAGATAAAGTCACCTGCTAAAAGTTACACCTTACCCCTCTCTGCTTTTCACACCCAAATGCAAGCAAAGAATGCTGAGTCCTCCTCCAAACAGGTGAGTTCCATTCAAATATGTACCTTAAAATCCATACACATCACTAGGGCACAGTTTTTCTCCAAAACAAAATGAGCAGCTATGGGAAAGACATTTGATACTCCAAGAAGACACAACTGTGTATTTATTAAGAATAAAATGACTTACAGAAAAGCTAAAAAATGGTGATTTTAGGCCAATTAAAACTAGAAATCCTCAATAATTTGTAAAACATTTTGCTTATCCGAACAAAATATATGTAATTTTATGGCTGTTGAGAAGAAATATTTCTGTAGATAAAAATCAGCTTGTTTGCAAATCGATACAGGTTACCTGTCTTTCTGTGTGCCTGATTTTAATGGATCCTAAGAACCTGTGTTCCTCATTTATTTCTGAAATATTTCCACTATTTCTATATTGTGAAAACATTTCCCTCCAAAATTGGAAGGAAATGAAGAGATATGTTTCAAAAAGTGCTAAAAAATTCAGATTAGTATTTTTTTTTTCCACAGAGCTCTACAGACATAGACCTGCGAAACTGAAAGTCCATGTAAGACACAAGCTATGGTTGATATATACAAATTACCACTTGATGGCAGTATGTTTAAATAAAAAATGATAGCAGAAAAATAAAGTGCTGAAAAATATAGCACATTTTTTGTATGGACTGCACACTGAAGAATATTTTACATATTTTAAAAGCCTTTATAAGTATGGTGGGAGGAAGAACAGCAAGGGCATAAATTCTCAAATCTTTTATCCAATAAGAACACAAAGACTTAGGAAACTTTGGTTTCTGTCTTTTTCTCCATCTAAATTATTAAAGCAGTATTTCAATATATTAACTCTACTTGGCTATATCTAACTCTCTGAAAATAATTGCATTTATAAGTGCAACATACTAATTCTAATGAAGCCACTAATGAGACTGCCAGCATATAAAGTCATTTCAGGGTGAAAGGACAAACTTGCAGACTGTGTAAGTTTCAAAATAAAGCTGAAAATGATAGATTAAAAAAAAAAAAACCAAAAACAAGTGGGCAAAATTAAGACAGTGCTGTGCTACTAATGGATTTTTAGCCAGAATTCTTTGCCATCAATGGAATGGCAATTGTTTCCAGGTCAGAGGTGTCTCAAAGAGGTCTTCCAGTGATTTTCAGCCTCTTTTTACAATTTTGTTTTTTTGGGGGGGGAGCTTTATGGATATTAAAGGTAGAGAACATTGAGTGTTGAATGTCCCAAATGCTTCATGTTCCCATTCTCATCCTTATTTTTCCATTTTTTAACCTTGTTGCTGAAATTTGTCCTTGAATGCTCAGCAGTGCAATTTTGGGGTGCTTTGGTGGCCACAGGTGAACTTCAGTATGGTTCTATCCTTAAATTTGGCTTGGTATTAATTAGAGACATTATTATCTTATTAATTAAAGAGATAATTCCTAAGGTTGACCTTGCATTAAAATGGAAGCATTTAGAATGTATAATAAGAATGTTTAACAATGGGAGAAACTTCAAGATTAATAATATTATTTGGCAACAGACAAGAGGCAAAAAAAAAAAGAGTAATAGCTCATACAGAACAGATACGTCAATCACTAGGAAAAGAAATCCATAATAAACTTAATATAGTCCATGTCAGGATTAAATTGAGCAAGGCTATTTGTTAAATATTTTTGGGAAAGAGGAACACATCACAATTTTTACTCTATGGCTAATAAATCTATTTAGAACAAGTAAATAAACTAGTTGTTCATCTCTATATCTATAAATTGTTTATAATTTATATTCCTGGGATATATGAGGGAGGGAGGGAAGGAGGGAGATAAATGGTGATGAAGAATAAGAAGATGGGATAAATCAACAAGAAGAAAACTGCCCTGACTTCTGAACCTGTAGCATGCCTTCCTGAAAAGGAATCCTACACAACTTACTCATCAAGGAAAACAGAGCCCACAACAAAGTAGGACAATTGGATGGTGATGGGTTATGTTTACATATTAGATTTGAAAGTAAAGCAGCTGCATAGTGAATTCATGCCATGCTATGCCTAGTGAATGAGATCTGACCAGAAAGTGTATACTTCTGAATTACACAGTAAAGATGGAGAAATAGTCTGAGATGATTTTTCAAGCTTATTCAGTTCATTTAATATTTAGCAGTGAAGCTGTCTACATGTAGGCTCTGCTGCACTGGAAAGAAACTCAAGAAATTGATCTGAAAAAAAATAAAAAGAAAACAAGTAACTTAATTAGCAAATATCTGCCAATGAGTTTTCTTGATATTCCTTAAATCCCTCAGTGTAAGACTCAGCAGTTCCTGAAGCTTCTGTGCCATATAATCATATGTCTTTGTTGATAAGTTTATAATAATCAGCATTCTCCTCCCCGTGACTGCTTTTCTAAGATTTCTAAATTTTGCCCCATATAAAGAGTAACCCTTTCTTCCCAATAAATAGGCACTGGAGCAAGTACAATTCTTAGACATTTCTGAAAAGGTTTCAAATATTATAACATTCTTTTTAGTTTATATCAATCAATGGCAGTAAAGAGCCGTTGCACCATCCAAACAAAAAAATCTCTCCTAATATTTATGTCATGAGCCAAAGAAAAAAGTGTGACATCAGTATCTGAACATAAACCACAGATAAGTTTTAATGGGACAGTGTGGTCTAGATTTCTTTCCAAATGCAGCTTTAATTCCAAATATATTTTTATATATAATGGGGATTTTCTTCTGATAATATTAAGTGTTTTAAATGTTAAAAGTATATAATCACTCTTCCAGGTGAATTATCTTTCTTTTCTTTTCCAAGCAGACATTGGAATTGGAATACGTTCTTTAATGTCATGACGCGAATGAAATGAACAGAGTTAGGCTTTCTGTACTTTCTGTACTGTGCTTTCTGTACTAAATCCATGACATTAAGGGTGAGAAACCCAAAATTCCCAAGATGCCAACAAAGCAACAAAATGGTCAATTTCCAATGGCATTTTTGGCAAAATTAGGAGTGGGTATGGAAGTAGATGAGCTGTGGGAAACAAATTGTTTCCATTCCCATCTTAACTCAATCCCCAGAAAACTACTGGAATTACACTTCTGAAATTCCACTTGGGCATTGAATATGGTATGATTTGTGCAGAGATATCTGCAAGAGCCTATGCTTTAATCAAAAGGATGAAATGAGTCTTGCACCATGAACTCCACTCCTTTCATACATACATGCAATGTAACAGCACATGAAGGAAAAGGACAGAACTTAGGTCACAATAGCATGTGCTGGTTTTGTCATTTGTTTTCCCTTGGCCCTCCCTTGGCACCTCTGGATTTCAAGTGGTTTTTTTCATGTTGGAGAAGCATTTTGAAGGTAAGTATAGAAGTGATGTCTTTCAGAGGCCTCCTGCTACCTTTTCCACTAGTTAATCACTAAAAATATGAAAAAAGCCCCAACATCTCAGCCTTAACCCTTCCTATGATGTCATTTATGATTTACTTATTGGATTCATTTATGGTATAACTGACTAGGACTCTAAGCGCTGCATAGCTCCCAAAAACATAAAATAAGATAATACTAATATATAATTATGCAATTTAATAAGGATGAAATCATTCTGATGCCAATGTCTCTACAATAATCAATTCCCAAAGGCCTTTGGGAAAATTTTTCAGAAAGCCATG